GAATTAAGCAGAGCAGTGGAGGGCAGAGGTTTTGGAGATGTCTCATCCATAGGATCACCATCGACTCGAGGGCAGTTAACAACAGCAACAAATTCAGTTATATGGTAAAGAGTGTCTCCCTCCATCTGAGGTGCTGCTTGGCACTATTCTCCCCTCTGATCACTATAGAAGAGTAGCAGCTCAACCAAGCAGCTGCAGTAACATCTAAGACCTTGAAAATAGATATTTGCATCAGCAGCTTCCCAGAACCTTAATCAATTTTTACTGCCTGGGAAAAATATATTATGAATCAATAATAATAATAATAATAATAATAATAATAATAATAATAATAATAATAATAATAATAATTTTATTTATAACCCGCCCCTCTGCTCGGCAATCGGGGCGGCGTACAACATTGTGCAACAAAGAACAGTTAAAACATTCCTAAATCCCGCACCCTAACCCTCCCATCCCTTAAAACTAAATTAAACTTGAATAGAATTAAAATAAAATTTAAAACACAACTAAAATAAAATTTAAAACACTAATTCATGCCTCGTCTTTCTCCCAATGTAGCACCCAAGGCAGCTCACAATATATTATACGCGTGTGTGAATTTACTTTTGCTTTTTGTGAACTATCTTGGAGATCTCTTTTAAGGTAAAAAAAGGTTTGACAGAATTATTTATAAATGACTCAATTGGAAAAGTACATAAAATTAGAAAAAGATTTTCATTTTAATGTCACAGGATTGGGTCAGTGATACACACCCCACTAAACGGATTTAGATTATACAGTAGAGCAGGGACAGGCAACCTTTTTGAGGCCGAGGGGGGGGGGGAATGGCGGGGCGCGCGCTTGCGCGCACACCCTCCTCCTCCGCACACGACCCCTTGCACACGCTGCCGCTGAGGCAGCTACCGCAGCCACCGCCGTAGCGTGTGCTGCCGCAGCTGCCACAACACATGTCGCGGCCGCCATTTTGTCACAAGTACAAAATGAACTGAAATTGTTGGCTATATCAAACTTAGAGCAGCCAGCATGTAAAATACTTCCCCTCAAAAGCTACAGTGGGATCATTATGAGAATTTTTTTGTTGTCTCCTGTAAATAAAAAGCTCTAGTAAAACTTCAGAGGCCCAAGTTTAATAAACATTTATTTATGTAAGGGATGGTGGCAAAATTCAACAGGCTGAGGTCTAGACCAGAGCTCAAACTAACATATTTGTCTCTGAGAGGTGATTAGAGGCCCCTGAGTTCAAATTGAGTTGGAGTACATGTCTTAGCTAAATACTGCTTCAAAGAGCTATACCTGGGAAAGCTGCTGCTGGTGGTGGGGGGCACAAAAAGCCAGCCTTTGTGGGTGATCTTCTTTCTTCAAGGAACCTCTGTGTGAAGTGGTGGCCATTTGTCTACCTTCTCTGCAATTTTCTATGCAAACTTGTTCATATTTTTGTTAAAGAAGGTGTTCTGAAGAACTACCACAGGAGAACTGAACGGAGAAAACTGTCCCCCCCCCACCACAGGGGGACCCTGGACTTGCCAAAAGTGTGGGACAGCCAGCTTTCACAGCAGGTCTATTTCCCCAACTGTTGGGCTGCCTCAGAATTGTGGAGCATTGAGGAAGAGACAGTTGTTTCCAAATTAATATTAGATATACAGAAGACAACTCATACATCACTATGCCTTAAGCATTCACCACAGTAGTAGTAGTAGCAGCAAATTATTTGCCCATAACACCTAGCCAGTGTGGTGTAGTGGTTTCAGCACTGGACTTTGACTCTAGAGACCAGGGTTTGAATCTTGGCTTGGCCATGTAAACCCACTGGGTAACCTTGGGCAAGTCACACTCTCTCTGTCTCAGAGGATGGCAATGACAAATCTCCTCTAAAGAAACTTGCCAAGAAAACCCTATGATTGGTTTACTTTAAGGTTGCCATAAGTAGGAAATGACTTAAAGGCACACAATAATAACAACAACAGCAACAACTGTATAACACTACATAATGGAAGCCCTGCACAGTTATTTAAAATTTTCACATTGAACAGCCCAGACCTAACCTGATATAAAGTAATACAGCACTACTAACATAAATAAAACTATTGTAGCACACATTAAGTGAAAAATATACACTACACAATTATTTATTCACAAACACATAGTAATATTTGGATACTTGCAGAAGGCAGAGAGCAAAGGTTGTTTAGCTAGACTATTCTATGGTATTATGTAGTTCTGAAAAGCACATTTATCCAGTATGATAATTTTCCTAAATGCCAGAAATCTCTTTGATGCTTTTCCAGCATTAAGTATGTTTGAGCCTTCCATTGTTGTCACCAATATTTTGTTTTTATTGTCATTTAAAATTGTTACAAATATATAAGCATGTAGCTGTTACTAATCATCTTTTTAAACTGTAGATTTTCCTTTTATATTATTAATTTATTTCTTTATTTCAGGAATGTATATTCTGCCTTTCTCCCACAATGGGATTCAGCCTAGAGTAAAGTTAATTTATGAAATTTCAGTGAGCAGTCAACATCAGTAGAAAATGCGCTGAAAACAGGAAGAAATGGGCACAATTATATGAACAGGGAATCAGATGGAAAGGAAAGCACTCTTTAAGCCTAAAAGGCATGAAGATAAATAATATACGTACCAGATTAATACAAATGAATGGAGAAGAAAACACACTAAAATTTTTGCTCAATAGAAGCAAATTACGTCCTCCATTATAAAAGCCTTCAAAATGGTCTATTAGATCATGAAAGGAACTGGTGTGTTTATTATTTTTCTTATGGGAGTCCCCTTTTCTATTCTGCATGCTTATTCGGTACAGTGCCCAGGGTGATGAGGAAGCTTTGCATTCCCCTTTCTTCTTCCTCACTACCTTTCCCACTAATGGGTACTTACTCCATTGAGTTTTAAGGTCATAAGGTTCCTGCTCATTCATGGCTGAGAATGGCTGAGCAGGCACAAACGTCCCTATTCTCTGAAGCAGTAACTGGGCATGTGGTTTGGTCTCAGGGAGTCCAATACTTTTTTGTTTTATTTTCCTGGATTCACAACTCCCATCTTCCTATCCCATTTCACTAGTGTTTGGAAAGGAAACACCCTCCCCATCAACATCTGGGATTGGAATATCTGTATCTGAAAAACAACAACAACTATCCAGCCCTGCAGCCTTCAGCAACTTAATTCCTTCTCCCAAACTGAAGCACAGTGGAGAAAGTTTCAAGTGGGCATGGAAGAAGGAGTAAGAGAAAGAGGTAAGCACAGCAATGGGAGAGTAATCAGGGCAAGGGGGAGCAAGTGGGGAGGAGAGGTAAAAACAGACCTAGAGAGTGACTAAAAGGAAACTATGAGCAGTAAAAGGAGGGTTGAGTAGATGGAAGGAGTAGGGGTCAGTGATCTAGGGAGACAGAAAAGAAGGAAGGATGGAAAGTTGAAGACAAGCTAAGGAAGAAAAAAGAGAGATGGGAGGAAGAGGATAACAATAGAACACATTCTGTATTCTTCATGTTGCTTGAAGTATTCCAAAACTCGCTTAAGGGCAAACAAAACAGTTAATTCCACTGCTACAAAGAGCTTCTTTTAGAAGGTGGAAATTTTAATGAAGTGTTTAGATACAGAAACACTAGGATTAGAGCTGAAATCACCACTAAATTGAAAGGAAATTAATTTATTTATGCCTTCACAAGAAAAAGCAGGCAGAAGAGCCTTCTACTTGATTTACTTTGTTGGGTGAGTGAGCATACAGGTAAAAGAAGCAGGAATATCACACTTGAGTTACCATAGGAATTATTCCAGCTAACTTTATTCTACTATATACTCACTCTGAGGGAAAACTGATGCGTACCCACTCAAAAGAAACAGGGGAAAGGGGAGAAAAGGAGACACTTTTGTTGTACCTTACACCTGAATTCCCCTCTCATATCTCTAGGACTAGTCCTAGGAACTATGCATTTACTCTCTCCCTTTTTCTCCTTTATTCATCTCTCCCCCAAAACACCAGTGAGGTAAAGAGAATCTGCTTTCCTCCCTCAGCCAAACATCTTGGGAAATATGAAGGAAGAAGGGGGAAAGTCAAATGAAAGGAAGCTGCCTGCTCTCCTGTTGTTTCTCCCATGACTTAGTAGCTCACCATATGTTCAGAGGGTTAGGTAGTGGAGACGAGGATACTGATGCTTGCTGACAGGACAAAGACAGGCCCACTATGGTGATTAAATTAAATTCACTGCTATCCATAACCTAAGCTTACTAACACTATTAGACACTGATTTTCCAAGTTAAAAGGATGATATTGCTCAGATTCCAACATACTGTGAGGGAGTTATTATTTAGCGAAACATGGGGATTTTATACTTGACAAAATGAAAATGTTAATATTCTTTTAAAACCTGAATGCAACATTTATTTAGAGGGAGACATTGGCATACACACAGAAAAAGTATAGAAACTGCACAATTATTTTACGAGTTAAAGCAAGCCAGAAAGGAGAACTAGAAAAGGATCAGTGAGTGGTAGAGAAATGTTAGTGATGGATAATCAGTAACAGCATCTACCAGAAAAATCTGCCTGTACAATATTTCAACCTAGAAGCAACAGAAATTGTTAAATTGATACTTCATTCCTAAAATAAATAATGTTATATGCTACATAATTGATAAGAGTGTATAAAATAGCAATTTAGAACTTGCTTTCTCAGAAAAGTACAGTGTGAATAAAATGAACAGCTCTATCTCCTTGTTATACAGAGAGAGGAGGCAGGCAGCATGTTGGCAGATATTCATGCAAAATCTTCTGGTAGGTGTGTCTTACCGGTTCGCCTGCACTGCCTGCTGCATGACGGGAATAACAGATGAGACCAGGAATGGGATGTTCACCTTTTGCCATGATAGCAGCAGAACCGGTGTAGGATGGATGCTTCTAATGTATAATACATAACAACTATGAACATGACAGGAAAACATGAAACTAAACAAGCAAAATGACACAGAGGAAACATGGATGAAAACAAGTGGAATACCTAAATGTCCAGTGTTCAAATGAGCACAACCAGTTTAGATCTCAGGTATTTTCTGCTTTTAATGTTTTTTCACTTATATCTTGAAACATTCCAGGAGAGCAAATGGCTAACACTACAGTAGCCCCTTAGAGTAGGGTGTATTTGGGGATAGGAATACTAATGCTCTATGCGTAGAATCTTCATCTGTATCCACAGAAGAGTTTAAAGAGCATTTGATTCCTTCTCTTCTTGTAAAGCACAGGAATAGAGAAAGAGGCCATAGACAGATCACCAGTCCATATCGTCCAGTACTATCTATTCTTCAATGGTTAACTGACAGGATTCTTTTTTAGCTCTAGTTGAAGAATCCCACTATGCCCTGGGAAACTTCTAATCCAAGGGTTGGCAAACTACGGCCTGTGGGCCGAACCTGGCCTGTCGAGGCCTTCCTACCGCCCCCTGGCCGGTCCTGCCGCTGCCGCTGCTGCCTTTCTCGGGCATGTGCGACTCTGGGGTGCCATTTTGTATTCCAAAATGGCGCCCGGAGTCTAGCGCGACCTTTCCCGTCCTGCCCCGCGATGGGAAAGGTCGTGCAAGACTCTGGCCACCATTTGGAACACAAAATGGCGCCCTGGAGTCGCACACGCTTGCGCACTGGGGCCCGGTGCAGTCGCCAGAGCCCTCCTGGGGCCCGGTGCAGGTTTTTTTTTTATACTCTGGCCCTCCGATGTTCCGAGGAACCCCGAACCGGCCCCCGGCTCAAAAAGTTTGCCGACCCCTGTTCTAACGAGATCTTCCCCTACATAGCTTCTGAAATCTTATTATTTACTGGATGTAGGTCTCTCTGAACTCAGTGTGATTTACTTCTAAGCAGACATCCACAGAACTTTAGTACTGAACTCTAGCTGTAGAAGTTATCTAGCTTTCAGTTCTAGGTTGTTGGGGCCGGATCTCTCAATTCCTGGCTCAGTCTATGCATTGCTGGTATGCCAATTGAATGAAAGGACATTTAGCAAAAATCAATTCCTCAAAGAGAGAGCTAGGGTATATTATTAATAATGACTGACAACTAGGCATTTCAACTATGGCCTGAAACAGATGGGCCAAAACGAGCAGCTTCTGGCTCCTTCAGGGGTGTGGTGTGTAGATGACCCATGCCCCCGACGCAGTCGGAAGCTGCTTTGAGATTGTCTAAGGTAGCCTGAAGCCACCGGCAAAAGGAACAGCGAAAAACCACTCCTTGCCAGCAATATGTTAGGGACTGCAGCAGCAGTCCACGTTCGAAGTGAACTGTCTAGCTGCCACCGTCCCGGACCGATTGAGGGCTGATCATGGCTGGAGGTCACTCCAAACTGCCTGTCTGCTTCGACCCCAAATCTTCAAAGCTCATATGAAAGCAGAGATTTACAACCTGAATTTTGACTGCTGCAGCTGTGTTTAGATAGAGCATTCAACAGTCCCAGATTTTCTGACAAATGAATGATTAGAGCAGGGTGGAGGGCATGAAAAGTTATTCCTGATGGCTGAATGGGCCTCTGGAATTGTGTTTGATTCAGCATGGAAGCTGCAGAGGGAGAGCAGAAGTGACAGAAATGAGAGGCTGCCTTTATTTGAGCAGAAATGCCTTCCCCTTGTGCTAAGGCATTCTTAGATATTATATAAATGAAGCTGCTTTCTAATATTTGATGTCAAATGGAAAAAATGAAGGGAAAGACATTACACAGAAAATGTTGAATTATAGGATTAAATACCAAGATCATTTATGGCTATATTTATAGACTGACAAAAATCATGTGCATTCCTGAA